TGCTTCCAACATAAAAGTTGGCACCAACTTGAAAGAATGGTTCAATCTACGCATCTGTAAACAAGTATGTGGTGAAGGGGTGATCAAATATATCCTTCACTAACACACTACTGGGAGCCTGCTTGGAATGCAATTCTGTCAGCCTTTGGCGCCATCTTGTTTGTTTTCTTGTGCCTGTTTGACGGTATAAAAGAAACAAACAACAAAGGCAGCCAAAATACGAAACCCCGCACGCCACGGCACAAAGGAAGATTCAGATATCGCAGCCTCTAAACACAGCTGTGAAATTGCAAGAAGGCTGTGTAGGGCCGTTCGGACCTCTGGTCCACAGCCTAGTGTTCGATTGTTGTCGTCTAGTCAGGATGTCAAAGCACATGCTGACATGACAATTTTCAAAACCTCTACGCTTTTTGCGTTGGTGAGGTTGCGAAGTGGAAATCCGAAATCTGCCGCGCGTTATCTGAGGACTTCCTGGTCCTCTTCTGACATGGTCTTAATTGTGTTGCATGCGTTTTTGCAGGCCTGCTGCAGTTCTTTCTTCAAATCGGCAGATACTTTCAGCGTCTGGATCCACTTCGTGGTGGCTTGGGAGGATGCGGTGGCTGGGCAATTTGTGTCTAGCACTTTGTTGGGAAGAAACTTGGGATCCATGGCCGTTTGAAACAGAGTGCGATTGTCCACAGGAGTAGATGCCTGAGACGCTGGGGTTTTTACAGGCAACCTCATGCGTTTTCCTGCAGGCTCTGGTGTGAAGCTTTGCTCCATTTCTCGGTTGGGCCTCTTGGATCCGGACGCTGGTTCAGAACCAGACGGAGACGCACGTTTGGCCTGAGCAAGTTCTTGCTCCAGGACTTTGATACGGTCTTGGGCTTCCGAAAGTTGTTGCTGCTGAAATGGCGCACACAGATCAATCAGGAACTGGCAGAGTTGCTTCATTCTGAAACTCTTCTGCTGAGCCTCGGAATCTCCAGAGTCCGGATTTAGATTATGCTGCTGGCAGAAAGACTTGGCGATTGAGTCAAGGTCAATTTTGGTTTCCCTGACTCTTTGAAGAAGGTAACTGATGAATGTCGCCTCCTTGATGCTGCGACTAAAGTGCACAGAAATACAACGTCCCTGCGAAAGAGCACGCAAACAGTGGTTTGACCACCCTTGCCAACAAACTTCGTGGAGTTGTATGGAGGTTACCTCCCTGCCAGCTAGCTCGTGCTTCATTGACCATGAGGTCGGTTGAATCTTTTTGGCAAATTTCATGCCAAAGCTTTCGCGAGCATCCCAGAAATCACGGGTTTGTTGAAATTCATCTGGAACACTGAGGTTGTAAATGCCAGAGCCGCCTTGGGGGCTGCTGACTTCCTCAGGTTTTGTTTTCCTGGGAGGAGTGCGAGGAGACCGAGATTGAGACCAGTCATCCCAGCCGCTCCAACTGGAGTGGCGTCCATAGTGACCCCATTCCGATTTGTCCCAGCTGTTCTGCCAAGACATGATCACTGGAACTGCCAGCAGCCTTCAGTTTTCGGAGCGACGCAGCCACTGAGGCTGTGTGAATCAAGTTTGTTGGATCAAGTTTGAAAATCCAAGTTAAAAGAATCAAGTTGAGCACATCTTGTTGGATCAGAATTTTCGGATCAAGACGGCTTGTAGAGCAGAAATCAAGTTGAATCAGTCGAGTGTGGATCATTTCGAATCAAGCGTCTACGCCCGGCCCTTTGACAGAATGCCGGTCGAAAAATACACTTGCAAGCATACCGAAGCATGTAGTAGGAGGTTTGCTTGTTTGTTCTTGTTTCCGCACTGTAACATGCCACCTGCACTGCAAATGTTTGCAACATGCAACTGCACAAGCTGCATCTCAGTCACTGCACTGCACATATTCGCTGACATGTTGAACTGCACATGTCTGTTGCGCCCATCACTGCCTGCCTGGAAACCCTGTTTCAGAAAAGAGAAAAGGGCCCGACTTTCATCATGGTCACAAGCTGCACTTCAAAGTGCGCATGTCGACCACGTGCAGGTACAGAAGTGTACGTCTTTACTTCCATCCACCAATGCTCTATAGCTTCGTTGGCATGGCTAAGAGCAAAGGCTCCATGCCCCCTGCATTTCCTGAAAAGAAACTGAAAACAAAAAGATAAGGTTTCCCTTAGAACACAGGGTGTCACACACACACAAACACACGCACGCCTACACACAGACACACATACACACACAGACAACACACACACACACGCACACACACCCACACACACACACATACCCAGTCAAAGCTGGTTGGGAAAATCTGGATGCATTCACTCAAGGAATATTTAAATGGCTTCATTGTCTCTTGCAGGTACACAGTCTGGCGTCCCAGACTGCTTCACAGCACTTCTATCACCGTCTTTGTCGGGCAGTGGATGATAGAAGGCTCATTGCCCCCCTGCGAGCTAGAACGTTTACTGCTGGCAGAACGCTGCCTCTGTAATTAGTAGATCTTGGGTCAGTAAGGCTTTGAGAAACAAATGAACAACTCTTGGAAATAGAGGGTACACACACACACTACCCCCTTCGCTATTGAAGAGGTAAGGCTATGGTTGCATTTGGCTAGCAGGAGCCTTTAGTATCAAGAAAGGATACTGCAACAAATAATTGCAAGCGGTGTCAAATGTAAAGTCCTGTCTTAGAGCGATGCTTACCAAACAATATAGGCGCGGCAGCTAAGGCCCTCTTGCGCGTTTGGAACAGCAGCAACATTTCTGCAATCCCTTCAATAAAAACAAAGCAAGAACAAAAGTGTGCAGAAGCACTTACTGCGCAGTATCCCTGCATGTGGCTTTCAGTGCTCATCTTTTTGGCTCATAGCAGCACATATCCACGGCATCTATCTGCCACTAGAGCTAGAAGCCTCAGAGCTGATACGATAAATAATCGGATGGATCATCTTGCTCCATCGTAGATTGCGACTGATACGGCCCGAAAACTTTGCCAAGAGCTCATCCTCTGAGTTACCTAGCGTTCGTGTTTTCAGGCCCTACAAGACAGACGCCTCATACAGCCCAGCAACGGAGATGTTGTACTTCCCGGCTACTTGCTTCACACAAGCGTTCATCCATGACTTGCTAACACTGGCCATCTTGAAAAGGGAGGCTGTGGCATACATCCACCCATGAAGATACGCAGTGTTTTTATGTCGAACTAGGCAAAGGCCTAGCTCTGGGGCCACCTTTCGACTCTTGCATTGGTAGCCGGCTAAGCTAGCCATAACTGCATCCTCAGTGAACAAAAACTGCTGATTTTCCGAGTCTATGGAACCTGACTCGGAGCTGTCATGGTCTTCTGTGGCGCTGCCGTCTTCTCTTGTAGACTGGCGAAAAAACGCATGGCTAACTCTGGACTCTAGCTGAAAGTGCCGCTGAACAAGAAAGGCAACTACTTACGGAACAACCTCCTCAAAGGTGCCCATCTTGGACCACACTGGGCTTCTAAACATACAAGGTGCCATGGGGCTTGTCCAAGAGTGACGCAATAACAAGCTGTCAGACTCACACAAGTACTGATGCTGCAGGGCAAAGTTTTTTACTTCTCAAGGCGCAACTGCACATGCTTGCAACTACTCAAGAAGCAAAGTTGCTAAGCTATCCGGGGCCACGACTGAAGGACTTGACGTAGACAAGTCTCTCAAAAGTTGTGAAATAAGGGACCTGATGCGTCTCACATTTTGATGCAGCTCGGTGATGCTCTCGTTGACTTCACGTACGTTTTCTTGTAGACTAGCCACGTGATGCTGTAAGTCTGGAACCTGATTGGTCAAGGTGACTTTTTCTCCATATGCCACTTGAACATGGCCTTGAAAGTCAAACCGAAGACTTCTGAGCTCTTCCTCCGTGAACTTGATGCAGCGTTGTAGTGGCGTGATCGGGTCTAGGGCACCACTGGCTGGGTTTCCGGAGGACATGGCAAGACTTACAAAAACAAAAAATCTAGCAAAGTCTACTAAAAGGAGCCCAAGCTGAGTAGAAAAGCTGTTGCGTGCGTTACTAGCACCCTCTCACCAGCGCACAGAAAAAGCTGCTCGGCTTACTTTTTACCTCGGGCCTCGCAGATATGGATCAGTCTCTACATCACTAGTGCACAAAGAAAAGCCTGCATGTTCCAGTGAACGAGCCATAGCCACCGGTAGTCTCCATGCTTGCCGTATATGGAACGCAATAAGCACGACTCTGGTCCCGGACCAAGGCATGGTAGCATGTCGAGTTCTTGGGTCAAAAGACACACAGGGAGCTGCAATGGGTAGAAGACGACCTCGTAGGCTGTCTAATCGGGTATCTCCCTGAGGGTGCTCAAGCCACAGCTCTCCGGCTGTGAACTGTGAAAGAGGCACTACGTAATTGGGAACAAAAGCATGATTGTTGGAGTCTCGATGAATACGAGTATGGCAGTTCTTACTTACTGTGATGGAAGAAAAGAAAGCATGTGGAATCTGTGTTTTTACAACGCAAGAAAGTAAGCGGGTAGACCACGGATACTATTCAAAATTTGTATGGACACCAGCAACACCTCCAAACATAAAAGCTCCCGTAACAAAAGATTTAATGGAGTCTGAAGCTTGGTCTGATGCTCGTCGCTTGCTTCGATTGGATAAAGCGGCTCCAGAAATGTGCGAAATCTACTCTTCAATGGTAGACTGCGACACCTCACCAGACAGAAGTGCACGATAGGCAATGTCTTCAGCTGGATGTACGGGAGAAGAAAGCTGATCAAGTCCTTGAAGACTACTAACTGCCTGTCGCAAGTCGAAAACAGACGTTGTCTGATCCAAGTCTGAAGAAATGTCTAAGACTGTGGCTTGTGTAGACTCCGATCTGCGGGATACAGATCTGCGCAGTAGCTAGTGCGGCTTCTGTTGAAGATGTGGTAGGAAGATACCAGGGCACTGCGAGAACTCTTCCGTCTGGAGTTCGTAGATGTAGCATAGAAATCTTTGTCAAGGGTCGGTTTTTCCACCAACCCATACTTCGCAACTAACCTCTACATTGCGTTGAGCACAGAAAAGGAAACAAGCAAAACTGCTGGTGTGCACTACTGAACATGCACTCGCTTAACTAGCAACTTTGATGCGGAAAAAGACTTGTTTTTCAGGCGCGGGGTAGGTCACTAGCGGAGTATCCCGCTGCACAAAAGAGATCTTGAAGTTGTTGAACTTGTTGTGCTCTATGTTCCGGAGGCCATACATGACGGGCAATGTTGTGTCGTTTGGAATGATACGCAGCCAGCTGTTGGGATATGTGGCCAGCACTACAACTATGTCGGATTTTCCATGGCTCTTGTCGAATAAGAATGGACACACGTGCTTGGCTCACGTGCGCATCGAATCCCAAAAACTATTGTTCAGCGTCTTCTGACGTAACAGCTTCTAACTCAATTGGACTGCCATAGAACAGGTCAGAGCATAGTTTCTGAATACAAGATAAGTGAGTCCAACGAGTATCCACAATCAACAAGCGATTGTCCACGTACCGGACACAAAAGAACTCTGATTCTATTCGAGCAGATTGCTCGGAATGTTTGCCAAAGAACTGCTGCTCCAACAGCGACACTGTCAAGTTTGCAAGCATTGGACTAATTTGATTGCCAATAGTAGCTCCACGTTGTTGTCGAAAGGTTTTGCCCAGAACTGTGAAAACGCTGCACTCGCAATTGAGTTGGCAGATTGGTAGAACATCTTTCAAGAAAATGGAATAAGCACGACGTGACCCTTGTCTTGGCTTTCCTCGCCAAATTCGTGGTTGAGCATCTTTTTCTTGAAGCAGCACAGAAAATCGAGTGGACTCTAGGTGTACATTCTGTTGCTCACAATAGAGTCGAATCATTTCCGCCGCACTGTCAAGAATGCGTTGCACAGGAATGCTGGTGAAGAATCCAACTAGGTCTTCATTGAAGACTGCGGGGTCAAAGTCCTCGGGGTTGCTATGAAGAAAGGTTGTAAGCGAACTCATCATCTGGGGAAGTGTTTGAAGACCAAAAGATCTGGGGCAAACAGCTCGAATCAGCAAATCAAGCGCAATAGCGGTTGCTTTGAACAACTTGGCGAAAACAAAGTTGGAGTAGCTAATAATGGGTCTTGCAGCTCGATACTGCTTCTTGCGTTTGAACAACAGGTAAGCAAGTGGTAAAGTGCTGGTAGAGGTGTTGATGCCCCACTTGTACTGTCTGAGGAATGCCTTCTTCGTGGATAACTGCAAATACACAGATGCCTGAGACGGACTCATAGTCATTGGCTCGTAAACTGCAATGTCTCCAAAGATCTTCTTGTAAATTGTCCAAGCGAAATACGGGCAAAAAACTTGCGTGTGAGATAATGCATGATCTCTACCATGAATAAAGAAGCCGCTCAACACGTTACGTAGAGACAGCACATCTTTGAACTTGAGAGACATCTTGGCATCTTGTTCATGTAGACGTCATTCGTTATCCACAAAGAATAGCCAGTCTTGATATTGAACATCAA